CTTCATGGATTTTCAGCCTGGATGTGCATCTTGGTAGTGAGAGTTTTAAGCACTGATCCAGTTTAAAGTTTTGTTGGAGACTACAGAAAAAAGTAAGAACTCTAAGAATGAGGAATTGTACTATAGAAAGAGCCTTGCTACCTATAAGAGTGAATCTAAAATAGTTTAATACAAGCTTGTCCAACCCGTGGCCCACTGCCTGCATGAGGCCCAGGATGGCTTTGAATGCAGACCAACACAAATTCATAACCTTTCTTAAAGCATTGAGCTTTTGTGTGTGTGTGATTTTTTTTTAAGCTCATTAGCTGTCATTTTACTGTATTTTATGGGTGGACCTAGACAATTCTTCTTCTTCCAGTGTGGCCCAGGGAAGCCAAAAGACTGGACACCCCTCATTTAGAAGATACAGACTGATGCTTTATTAGACTGTTTGATTAGTGTTGTTAACAACATCACTCTAAAAGTTATTTGTCATCCAATGAACAGAACAATGTAAAACTATATTGCTAACAGTCTAGTTCAAGATTTTACTTTTCCAGCCAATGGACAGACATGCTTTATTTAATGGAAAAGTAGAAAAATAAGTGAAATAGGCCTGACTGAGACCCTAGAGCAGTGGTTGGAAGAAGATTCCCCTTAACTTCTTTAAATTGTCTCAAATTAACTGTGGGAAAAAGACAATGCTTAAAAAAAACAGACTGAGCCACCATACTCATGGTCTCAAGACATTTGCCAGGTTCTGAAGTTGCCTGGGGTGGGAGTCTAGAAAGCTTTGCTGTGAAACTTGTAAAGAAAACTATACGCTCTGTTGTATTTTGGTGCTGCGGTATCAGTTAAAAGTCCAGGGAAGTCATCCTCAAGGAAGGGGGGAGACAGGGTTTTGCAAATCTGTAATGCACACCCATCCCATCTTGATCTCTGCTGAATCATGGTGATTAGCCCTTCACTTTATGTAACAGAGGAAAAGAAAAACTTGATGTAAGTAGAATATAACATCATCTAAAGCTTCTATAATTATTTTATAGACAAAGTATAATATACAATATAAAATTACTGAACATAAAAAGTGGCAAGAAAATATAACTGCATTTATCAATTTGCATATGTTGAACCAACCTTGCATTCTTGCCACTTGATCATGGTATATTATCTTTTTGATGCATCACTGGATTCAGTTTGCTAGTATTTTGATGAGGAGTTTTACATGTTCATCAGGGTATTGGCCTGTAGTTTTCCTTTTTGGTTGTGTTCTTGTCCAGTTTTGGTGTTACATCAACAGAATGAAGAGAAAAAAAAAAAACGTATGACCATATGATAATCTCAGTAGATGCAGAAAAAGCATTTGATAGAATTTTTTAACATTGCTTCATGATGAAAAACAACTCTCAACAAATTAGGAATAGAAGGAAAATATGTCAACACAACAAAGGCCATATATGACAAATCCATAGTTAACGCCATACTGAATGGGGAAAAGCTGAAATTCTTTCCTCAAAAAACTGGAATGAGACGAGGATACCCAGTTTCACCACTCTTATTTAATATAGCCCTGGAAGTCCTCAACAGAGCAATTGGGCAAGAGAAAGAAATAAGGGGCATCCAAATAGGAATAGAGGAAGCCGAATTGCACAACCAAAACAGCATGGTACTGGTGCAAAACCAGACACACAGACTGATAAAACAGAATAGAGAACTCAGAAAAAAGACCACACACCTGCAACCATCTAATTTTCAAAAAATGTGGCAAAAACAAGCAATGAGGAAAGGATTCCTTATTTAATAAATGGTGTTGGGAGAAATGGCTAGCCATATTCAGAAAATTGAAACTGGATCGTTTCCTTGCATCTTATACAAAAACTAACTCAACATGGATTAAACCCAAAACTATAAAAATCCTAGAAGAAAATCTAGGACACAGGCACAGGCAAAGATTTCATGACAAAAATGTCAAAAGCAATTGCAGCAAAAGCAAACATTGACAAATAGGATCTAATTAAACTAAAAAGCTTTTGCACAGCAAAAGAAACTATCATCAGAGCAAACAGACAACTTATAGAATGAGAGAAAATGTTCGCAATCTATTTATCTGACAAAAGTCTAATATCTAGAGTCTAAATTGAAACAAATTTACAAGAAAAAAACGACCCCATTAAAAAGTGGGCAAAGGACATGAGCAGACACTTCTCAAAAGAAGACATACATGCAGTCAACAAGCATATGAAAATAAGCTCAACATCACTGATCATTAGAGATGCAAATTAAAACTACAATGAGATACCATCTCATGCCAGTCAGAATGGCAATTACTAAAAAGTCATGAAACAACAGACATTGACTGGCAGGGCTGTGGAGTGAAAGGAATGCATTTACATTGTTGGTGGGAATGAAATTAGTTCAACCATCATGGAAGACAGCGTGGCAAGTCCTCAAAGACCTAAAAACAGAAATACCATTTTACCCAGCAATCCCATTACTGGGTGTATACCCAAAGGAGTATAGATCATTCCATTATAAAGATACATGAATGCATGTGTGTTCATTCCATCACTATTCACAATAGCAAAGACATGGAATCAACCCAGATGCCCATCAATGATAGACTGGATTAAAAAAAATGTGGTACATATACACCATGGAATACTATGCAGCCATAAAAAGGAATGAGATCTTATCATTTGCAGGGATATGGATGGAGCTTGAAGCCATTATCCTCAGCAAACTAATGCAGGAAGAGAAAACCAAACACTGCATGTTCTCACTTATAAGTGGTAGCTGAACAATTAAAACACTTGGACACAAGGAGGAGGACAACACATACTGGGGCCTGTCAAAGGCAGGGTCAGGGGAGGGAGAGCATCAGGAAATATAGTTAATGCATGCTTGGCCTAATACCTAGATGATGGGTTGATAGGTGCAGCAAACCATCATGGCACATGTTTACCTACATAATAAACCTGCGCATCCTGTACCCTACCCCAGAACTTAAAATAAAACAAAATAAAAAGAAATGGGTAGATACAATATTTTTACAGATTGAAAGACTCAACATTCTTAAGACGTTGACTCCTTAGAAACTGATTGGGAGAGTTAACAAAATTCCAATAAATATTCTAACAGAAATTTTTGTGCATGATTTGACAATGTGATTATAACATTTGTGTGTGAAGACAAATACACCCAAAATCAAAATTCATTTTGAAAGAGGAGAACAATGTAGAAGGGCTAACATTGTCTTGTTTCCAAATTAATTATTAAGTTACAACAATCAGAAAAGTGTAGTATTAGACAAAGTATAGAAATATAGATCAGTATTGAGAGTATGTAATACCATAAAGAGTCCAGAAACAGATGTACTCGTGTATCATTCACTGATTTTTGACAAAGTCACAGAAGCAATTCAGTGAAGACTAGTCTTCAACAAATGGTGCTGGAAAAATTGGGTTTCCATATGCAAAAGAAAAAAAATGGAACCTCAATTTATACCTAACACCCTACAACAATGAATTCAAAATGCATCACAGATCTTAATATTTGTGTGAGCGCTAAAGATTGGCCATGACATCTGTGGGGCCAGAGACGTCCCCAGAGGAGGCAAGGAAGATATTTAATAGCAGTGAGGGGAGGTGCTTTCAGATGCATCCACTAACGCTAGCTGAAGCCATCACAGAACTGGTTCCTTCAGCTGAGCTGAAATACCAAACGAGGCTGAGAAACCTGAAAATGGTGCATCATAAGTGTCTCCTATAGCTCTCAAGGGATGTGTTCTTCTACCAAGCGATGTAACAATGGTTTCACTGAATTGGAGGTTAAGCCTACCACCCAGCCATTTTTGGTACGCATGTAAGCCAACATACAAAGAGTAAGGTTGCGCTTCTGCCTGGTGTGATTGATATTTATTACCAAGGGAAAACTTGGTTGTTCTACATAACTGGAGAAGCAAGGGCTGTGTCTAAAATCCTGGGGAATTCTTTGGTTGCCACGTAGTGTTTCCATGCCCACCAATAAAGGTTAATGAAAACTATAATAACTTGATAAAGTGAGGTTTATGGGATGCAGATTTCCTAGGGATGAAAGTTCGCACTGTTGCCATTATGTAGAGAATGTCGTCCAGCTGATAATGGCCAAGAGAAAGGGGAACATAGAATGGGTAGTGGGAGAAAAAGATATAAATGTCCACTGTGGCCTTGTGATCGCTTGTGGGGACAGGAAGAGCGTGGCATAGGGAGGTAATCCGACATAGATGGAGAGCGGTTGGCACCATGGTGGTGATGTGTGCTATCAAGTCTTCCTAGAAAGATAAGGAGATAAAATTAACGGAACGGTGGAAATTTGGTTTTCTTTTTCTATTTTGGCCTGAGGAGGAATTGAGCATGACTTGAGAGAGCTCATTTTTTCTTCTTTCCATGTCCCTTCTCAATATCTGCTTATGACTGGGTCACAGAAGTCTGATCTTTGTCAATGGGATGTTTATCTCTCCTGGGGTATTTTTATGGGAAGTTGAGTTTTAGTGCGAGACTGCTACCTCGATATCTTTACGAAGCATGTGTCTTTCATGGTGGTACTCTGCTTAAAGACCATTATCTTTTTGTATCAACTTACTGTGTAAATGTTGCACACCTAAGATATTTGAGGCCATTCACAGTCTTTTATGGCCATTCTTTTTCACCTCCCCAAATGTAGGCTGCAGCCACACAGGACTACTGTCCATTCCCTATGCAGGCAGTGATTAGGCATCCCTCCATCAGCTCCATCCTCGTGATCCCCCAAGTACAGTCAGATGCGATCGGTGACTAATTACAGTGACTGATGACATATATTTTAATTAGTCACTTCTGCGGGAGTCTGAGTGAATTTGTTCTAGAGAGGGCCAGGGTAATTACATTGTCCTTAATGAGTCATTCCAGAATCTGGATTCCTCTGGGATGCAGGGTCCCTTGGGCTAAGGGATGGGTAGAAGGGGAAATGTAAGAAGGAGTGGGCCAGACACAGGGCACGACTACAGAGACTGTTGTTACTTTACATGTCATAATGGATAAAGGGGAGCAGGATCTCAGGTCGGTGCCCTGGAGTTACCTTCAGATGCTAGGTGAGTTGGGCAGGAGGGTGAATGAGCTGATTCGTGGTGTCCTTTCAATCTGAGAGTCTTGATTTCCCAGATGTGTGATCTGCAGGCTATTTTTTCAGTCATAATGACTTCCCTGTTTTCTATGTCTTTGCCTCCCAAGACTTTCCAACATTCTGGAAGCATTTTAACTAATGTCTTCCAGTTACAGCCATTGGTAATGATAGCACTTATACTTACTTCTTATTGTGGAATATATCCTCACCAGATCCTATCATTTCAGTATAGTGACAGCTCTGTGAAATATGCTTTAACGCAGTCATTCTCAAGACTTGTTTTGTTTTGAAATTATGTATGAAGCTTTATAGACAACTTAGGGTTCTCTAGAAGTCAGAACCATAGGCATAGTCTATCTATCTATCAATCTATCTACCTACCTACCTACCTACCTACCTATCTACCTATGTATATCAAGATAGAAAGAGGGAGATGGACAGAGAGAGAGAGAGGGAGAGAGACTTTTAAGAAATTAGCTCCTGATATTGTGAACATGGGCAAGTCTGAAATCCACAGGGCAGGTAAGCAGGCTGGAGACCAAGGGAAGAGTTGATGTTATAGTTTTGAGTCTGAGCAGTTTGAAGGCATAATTCTTTCTTCTTCAGGAGACTGTAGTCTTTTCTCTTAAGGCCTTGAACTAATTGTATGAGGCTTACCACGTAATAGGGGGAATCTACTTTACTCAAAGTCCACTGATTCAAATGTCTACCACATTACAAAATACCCTTATCACAACATCTAGAACTGGTGTTTGACCAAAACTTAGTATCAGGGCCTAGCCAAGTGAAAGACTGGATAAAGAAAGTGTGGCACATATACACCATGGAATACTATGCAGCCATAAAAAAGAATGAGTTCATGTCCTTTGCAGGGACATGGATGAAGCTGGAAACCATCATTCTCAGAAAACTAGCACAGGAACAGAAAACCAAACACCACATGTTCTCATTCATAAGTGTGAGTTGAACAATGAGAACACTTGGACACAGGGAGGGGAACATCACACATTCAGGTCTGTTGGGTGGCAAGGGGAGAGAAAGCATTAGGACAAATACTTAATGCATGTGAGGCTTAAAACCTAGATGTCATGTTGATAGGTGCAGCAAACCACCATGGCACACATATCCCTATGTAACAAATCTGAATGTTCTGCACGTGTATACCAGAACTTAAAGTAAAATAAGAATTAACCATCACATAGGATACGGATATCTGAGGACAAACTCAAATGAAGGCTTGCAGTTAGAAATTATCCTTCTTCTTTCTGTTTGTCCCAAAATTTGTAAAAATACTATCATGTTTATTTTTCCCACATCAATTTCAATGACAGGATGTAGGTCTGAGCACAAGAATGTTTGGTTTGGCTCATCCGTATTTGTGAAAAGAGTAGTATATCTGAGATACCCTAATATCCTTCATGGGTACAAAATTACATTTGTGAAGTCAGCAATAGAGTGTCAAAATTCAGTGTTAAATTGCTAAAGATAATGAGTTCTTATTCCAGGAGGATTTAGTAGGAGTAGTTATTCTAAGTTAACGGGCATTTGCTGCCAACTAAAAGTTGGATGAATGCATGTTCCAGCCTGAGAGACAGCCAACAAATATTTATAAAACATCCACAATATCCAGGCAACACACCAAGTGCGGTGGCTGCCTTGCTGCAGTGATGAAGGCAGACGTGGACTTTCATGCATAGAGCCTACAGTCTGGCAAGGAAATCAGCTATCAACAGGTGATCCAAAGCACGGAGTGCTATTGGATGAGTATGGAAGCAGGTCTCACCTGGTTTACAGAGACACAGGTTTAGTTTGGCAAGTTACATGTAATACACCTGAAGGATAAGTGAGAATGAGCTGGATGAAGATGGGGCATAGTGGGGATAGGTGCTAGGTAGGAGGAACAGCAAGTAGGAAAGGATGGAGAGAAGAAATTATGACTTATAAGTCCAGCATGGCTGAAAAGAGGATGCAAGAGTCATTGTGGGGTCAGATGAGGCTGGGGAGGTAGGCATGGGTCAGGTAAAGAGACATCCTCTGTGCTCTTGAAAGGAATTTTACCTTTATCTTAAGAGCAATGATAATCCTTGAAGTATTTAATCAGTAGAGAAAGGGATGATCAGATTTTCATCTCAGAATGCTGCCGTGTAAATGAGATTGTTGGAAGAGAAGGGTTTTGAAGCACAGAGGCAGGAAGATGAATTGAGAGGCAGTTTCAATAGTCCAGGTAATACAAGATTTCTATCTGGACTAGTGTGGTGGTAGCTGGGATAAAGAGTAGATGAATCAGAAATAGAATGAAGTGCAGAATCTATAGGACTTGCCAGAGTGGACATTGACTGTGAGAGAAATGAATTAATGAAATAAAACCTCAGGTTTCTGACTTGAGCCTGGATTTCTTACACTAAATATGGGAGAGTGGAGGAGGATGGAGTTAGATGAGGTGCAGGGTGAGATCAGAATGTCATTTGGGATCTGTTGAGCCAAAGATGCCTGTGATCCATCCAAGAGGTGGTAATCACTGAGACTCAGGATACCAAGTTCTGTGTACTAGAGAACGCTACACGTGAGTGGTTTGTTTTTGTTTTCGTTTTTTTTTTTTAGACAGAGTCTCACTCTGTCACCCAGGCTGGAGTGCAATGGTGTGATCTCAGCTCACTGCAACCTCTGCCTCCCAGGTTAAAGCAATTCTCCTGCCTCAGCCTTCCAAGTAGCTGGGATTACAGGCATGTGCCATTACGCCCAGCTAATTTTTGTATTTTTAGTAGAGATGGGGTTTCACCATGTTGGCCAGGCTGGTCTCAAACTCCTGGCCTCAGGTGAACTACCTGCCTTGGCCTCCCAAAGTGCTGGGATAACAGGTGCGAGCCATCGTGCCCAACCTACATCTGAGTTTTAAATAGCAATTAAAACCATTGGAGTTGATGTGTTTTTATTGGGAATTATGCAGAATTATTTAAAAAAATGAAGTTTAGAGAAATTCCTGAGGAATATCAACATGTAAAAAACTGACAGAGGAAGAGCCAGCTGCAGTTACTGAGGATGACTGGGCAGGCAGGTAAGAAAAAAACCAACACATTTTATGTTTCAGAAGTAAATAGATGAGTGTTTCAGAAAGGATGAAATATTGTTACATGTTAAACATAAATGAAGAGAAAAAAGATAGAGCTAAATAAGTCATTTCTGATTATAGAGATTCTAATTATAGATATTTGTGGTATAGAGATAATTACTGTTAATATCAGTTAAATAAAAAATTTTTGCAAAATGCCTAACAGACCAAGCATCACAGAAATATCTCCATTTCAAAATTTAGATTTTAAAGGACACTATTGTTTTCCCTTAAAGATCCTGGAGACAGAGCATGACAGGAAGGAATCAAACCAGCATCTCAGAGTTCCTCCTCCTGGGCCTGCCCATCCAGCCAGAGCAGCAAAACCTGTTCTATGCCCTGTTTTTGGCCATGTATCTTACCACCCTCCTGGGGAACCTCCTCATCATCATCCTCATTCGACTGGACTCCCATCTCCACACGCCCATGTATTTGTTTCTCGGCAACTTGTCCTTCTCTGACCTCTGCTTCTCTTCCGTGACCATTCCAAAGTTGTTACAGAACATGCAGAGCCAAGACCCATCCATCCCCTATGCGGGCTGCCTGACCCAGATGTACTTCTTCTTGTTTTTTTGGGATCTGGAGAGCTTCCTCTTTGTGGCCATGGCCTATGACCTCTATGTGGCCATCTGCTTCCCCCTCCACTACGTCGCCATCATGAGCCCGATGCTGTGTCTCTCCCTGGTGGCGCTGTCCTGGGTGCTGACCACCTTCCACGCCATGTTGCACACTTTACTCATGGCCAGGTTGTGTTTTTGTGCAGACAATGTGATCCTCCACTTTTTCTGTGATATGTCTGCTCTGCTGAAGCTGGCCTGCTCTGACACTCGAGTTAATGAATTGGTGATACTTATCATGGGAGGCCTCATTCTTGTCATCCCATTTCTACTTATCATTGGGTCCTATGCACGAATTGTCTTCTCCATCCTCAAGGTCCCTTCTTCTAAGGGTATCTGCAAGGCCGTCTCTACTTGTGGTTCCCACCTCTCTGTGGTGTCACTGTTCTATGGGACAATTATTGGTCTCTACTTATGCCCATCAGCTAATAATTCTACTCTAAAGGAGACTGTCATGGCTGTGATGTACACTGTGGTGGCCCCCATGCTGAACCCCTTCATCTACAGCCTGAGGAACAGAGACATGAAGGGAGCCCTGGGCAGAGTCATCCGTCAAAAGAAAACTTCCTTCTCTCTATGATGATAACACTTGGAGCTATTATATAGTTTATCCAGTAAAATATTGACATTAATATTGGAATATTATTCAACATTGTTTCCTCACCATAAATACTTTTGTTAAAATGGCATCCTACATAATTTTTCAATTCGTAGTGGAGATGAAGTAGAGCTGAGTACTTGAACTAGGAGAGAGTGTCTTGGTGACTTTGCTAAGACTTCCTTTTTTGTCTTCCCAAGGTGATCCTGGAAAAATATAGTTGAAGAACGTCTTTAAATGGTTTTAAATGGTCTTCATGCCCCACATCCTTAAATTATCATAGGATTTTGTTATGTTACTCAGAATTCTGCTTTGATTGTAGAAACATTTTTATTTAATTTAAAAAATTATTTATTTATTTATTTTTATTTTTTATTTCAGACAGGCTCTCATTCTGTTACCCAGGCTGGAGTGTAGTGGCACAATCATGGCTCACTGTAGCCTCAGCCTCCTGGACTCAAGGGATTATCCTGCCTCAGCCTTCCAAGTAGCTAGGACTACAGGCACACACCACCACACCCATCCAATTAAAACCTTTTTTTTTATAGATGAAGTCTCCCTATGTTTCAAAGGGTGGTCTTGAACTCTTGGCCTCAAGTGATCCTCCTGCATTGGCCTCTCAAAGTGCTGGGATTACAGGCATGAGCCACCATGCCCAGCTTGTAAAATCATTTTTATTTTTTATTATTTATTTATTTATTTTCAAAACTGAGTCTCACTCTGTTGCCCAGGCTGGACTGCAATAACACGATCTTGGCTCACTGCAAACTCCGTCTCCCCGGTTCAAACGATTCTTCTGCCTCAGACTCCCAAGTAGCTGGGATTGCAGGCACATGCCACCACACCTGGCTAATTTTTATATGTTTAGTAGAGACGGGGTTTCACCATGTTAGCCAAGATGGTTTTGAACTCCTGACCTTGTGATCTACTCACCTCAGCCTCCCAAAGTGCTGGGATAGAATCATCTTTAAATAGTACTGTATAATCTTAGGTCAGTGCTAAATAACATCCAACAGCTCAACCTCCCAGCCTCCTTTTGTGTGTCTTTTACATATTCTCTCTGCACACATTTTCACATCATTTTACCTCTTCTCCCTTGCTCCTGATATATTTTCACTTCTCCATAGTCTTTTCTCACCTGGCCCTGACCTTCAATATATTTTTCTAACCCTTTTACTGCAACGGTGTCTTTTGTCTTTACCTGGAATTGACTAATATCCTGAGGCCCTAAAATTTATTTCAACAGGAAAGAAGCTAGATGCTGGTAAAAAAAAAAAAAAAAAAAAGGAATGTCTCTCTTCTGTTTGGTGTTTTTGATGTTACAAAGAACTTCATATTTATGTTTGTATTCTACCCCCGCGACAATTCCCAGCAAGTAGAGAAGGTGCTAACACCGTGTTATATGTGGAGAAGCAGGGAGTTCAGCAACTTTTTACATCATACGGTGTGTCAACTGTTGAGTTTATGTAAAATTCCAGGCTGATTCTGCAGTTTATTCTCTTTTTCTCTCACTTTAGAAAGAAAGGGAGCAGCCATTTGTGGGAGTGTAAATTAGTTCAACCATTGTAGAAGACAGTGTGGTGATTCCTCAAGGATCTAGAACCAGAAATATCACTTGACCCAGCAATCCCATTACTGGGTATGTACCCAAAGGATTATAAATCTTTTCAAAACTCTTATCTCCACTTGTCACATGGGTAAGCTTCCAATATTGGTGAATTTGTTTTTTTTTTTTCTTTTTTTTGAGGAGTCTCACTCTGTCACCCAGGCTGGAGTGCAATGGCCTGATCTCATTCACTGCAACCTCTGCCTCTCAGGCTCAAGTGATTCTCTTGCCTCAGCCTCCCGAGCATCTGGGACCCCAGGCACCCGCCACTACACCCAGCTAATTTTTGTGTTTTGAGTACAGACTGGGTTTCACCATATTGGCCAGGCTGGTCTCGAACTCCTGACCTGAAGTGATAGTCCCGCTTTGGCCTCCCAAAGTGTTGAGATTACAGGCGTGAGCCACCGTGCCCCACTCAATTTGCATTCTTAGTTTTCCTCTCTAAGTGATGGCATCCCAGCCTATCATTCATCCTGTATGTTCTGCCAACGTCCACAACTCCGTCTGAAGCCCAGCCTTTCTCCAGGACTTCCAGCTGCCTCGTAGATACCTCCTCTTGAGGCTCTATGAGCAGTTTAATCTCGACAATGCGCAACATTAAGCTTTTCATGTTCCATCTAAGTCTGCTCTTTGCTATTGTTTCCATATCAGGGTCTCCTCTCATTCAGTTACCTGACCAACCGCTTCTATATGCGTAAACCTACCATCTTGAATTTTGCCTTTTTCATTGAATATTTCCTGAAATATTTTATTAATCTCCATATGGTCATTCCAGTTTTTGTAATGGATACACTCTAAAAATCTCAGTGGCATAATACAACAGAGATACTAGAGGCAAGAAAAAAGATTGGTCTTTAAATTAAATCACTTTTCTTTATACCAGAAAAAAACAATTTAAAAACCAGTGAAAATGGATTTAATTCTTAATAGCAATTGAAAGCAGGTACAAAAACTAAGGAAGAAACCTTTACAAGTTTAATAAAAGACATAAAAAATACTACAGAAATGAACACATATATAATGACTCTGGAGAGGATACCTCAGTTTTAACAGCTTTTTAAAGATTAATTTTATGCAATAAAATCAGTCTAATTGAAACTGTACCATTTAATATGTTTTGAAGCCTCAATACTTTTACAAAAGGAACTCTACTCAAATACATTCAATGTAATCCAAATAAAATTCCCAGTAGAATTATTTTTGTGGAGATGGACAAGTTTATTCTCTATTTCTCTTGAAAGACAAAATAGGTAAAATTTATAAGAAGTATTTGAAAAATAGAAACCATAAATTGGTCCTTTGTCTACCAAGTATCAATACACTTGAAAAACACAATAATTAAAATAGTATGCATTTATGCAGGAATTGACAAAAAAGATCAATTTAGTGAAAACAACGTTAAAATAGTCCTGTGTATGTGAAGATTTATTTTGTGATCAAGAAAATCAATGGGAGAAAGGGTATACCACCAGGAAAATTGACACGGGAAAATATTAAATGAAATTTTTACAGTACAAGTAAAATTATATTTTAAATGGCTTAAAAACCTAAACTTAAATTACAACCTATAAAAATACTCTAACATAAAGTAATATTTATAATTTATGCAAAACTCAGAAACTCTATAAAAATGTTGACAATTTTGACCAGATAGAAATAGGAAAGTTTTCTGGGACAAAAGATAACAGAAACTTGAAAAAGAAGTGACAGCCTATAACATGTCTAATAAACATGATATTAAAATTTAAAATTGACAAAGAGCTCCTATAATCTAATAAAAATATAACAATAAAAATGTACAAAGAATATTAACAGAAAATTCATAAAGAATAAACAATATGAGAAGATGTTCAGCTTTAGTATTAACCAGGAAAAAAACTTAAAAAAGTCTGGGCGTGGTGACTCACACCTGTAATCCCAGCACTTTGGGAGGCTGAGCTGGGTGGATCACTTGTGGTCAGGAGTTCAAGACCAGCCCCACCAGTATGGTGAAACCCCTTCTCTACTAAAAGTACAAAAATTAGCTAGGTGTGGTGGTGGGTGCCTGTAGTTCTAGCTGCTCAGGAGGCTGAGGCAGGAGAATCACTTGAACCCAGGAGACAGAGGTTGTAGTGAGCTGAGATTGAGCCACTGCACTCCAGCCTGGGCGTCATAGAGAGACTTTGTCTCAAAAAATAAAAAAAATGTTGAAAAACTATAAGAGATTATTGAATGACCACATACTTGGAAAATTTAGATCTATTTTTTTTTTAACTTTTAAGTTCAGGGGTACATGTGCAGGTTTGTTATACAGGCAAACTTGTATCACGGGAGTCTGTTGTACAGATAATTTCATCACCCAGATGTTGATCCTAGTACCATTAGTTATTTTTCCTGATCCTCCCCCTTCTCCCATCCTCTACCTTCTGATAGGCCCCAGTGTATGTTGTTCCCCTCTATGTGTACATGCGTTCTCCTATACACCAACAATGGTCAAACAGAGAGCCAAATCAGGAATGCACTCCCAAATCAGGAATTCACAATTGCCACAAAAAGAATAGACTATCTATGAATACAGCTAACTAGGGAGGTGAATGGTCTCTACAAGGAGAACTACAAACCACTGCTCAGAGAAATCAGAGATGACACAAAATAAGTGGAAAAACATTCCATGTTTATGGATAGGAAGAATCAATATTATTAAAATGGCCAGATTGCCCAAAGCAATTTATAGATTCAGTGCTATTCCTGTTGAACTAAATGAAACTAAACATTGACACTCTTCACATAACTAGAGAAAATGATTTTAAAATTCACAGGGAGCCAGAGAAGAGCCCTAATAGTCAAGGCAATCCTAAGGAAAAAGAGCAAAGCTGGAGGCATCACTTCAAACCATACAACAGGGCTGCAGTAACCAAAACAGCATGGTACAAAAACAGACACATGCACCAATGGAAGAGAATGCAGAGCCCAGAAATAAGATTGCATACATACAACTATCTAATCTTCAACAAAACTGACAAAAACAAGCAATGGGGAAAGGATTCCCTACTCAATAAATGGTGCTGAGATAACTGGTTAGCCAAATGCTGAAGATCAAAACTGGACACCTTCCTTATGTCATAGACAAAAATTAACTCAAGATGGTTGGGTCTGCTTCTGGACTCTGTTCGATTGATCTATATGTCTCCTACTTAACTTACTCTTCCTAAAATGTTAGAATCATTCTATTTCTGTCACATTATTTTTCCTGATATATTTTTATATCTATGTTGTCTTTTCCAACCTGTCCATACCTGAAAATGATCTTTTTATCTACTTTATTATAGCAGTGAATTTTGGTCTCTGTAATGCTCTTTGCCTTAAATTCAACTTTGTTATTAAAAGATAAAGCATGCTATCTGCATTTATTACGATAATACATATTTTTCTTTTTTTCTTTTTTTTTTTTTGAGA